ACTGACCGCAGCAGACTGCAGCAGACTGCAGCTGACCGCATTGACCGCGGGGCCGCACAGATCGCTACATCCTTTTGTGAAGGTGGAGAAGGTAAACAGTTGTAGCTCAAACAGTCTCTTAACATTATATGCCCCAATACAACACGAGCGGGAGTAAAGTAGGTATATGCAATGACAAAAGGAATCTGAACAAATATGAGCTTATTAAAGAAAAACCCTCGCCAAAATTTCACTGAGAAGAGTAAGTTAGAACCTATGAACTTTCTAGGCGTAAACGGTGTTTTGATGTATTCGCAACTATTTTCTCTTTTACGAAAGGATGCAGCGATTGTGCCGCCTCTGCGGTCAGTGCAGACAGCTGCAGTCTGCTGCAGTATGCTGCAGTCTGCTGCAGTCAGTGCGGCAGTATGAAAGTACCCTAAGAAGCTCAAGACAACAGGGCATAAAGAAAAGTTTTGCGAACTTGTCAACAGAAGAAACCATCTGCCCGACCAAGTACCAATCCAAGAAGATCTCGAAGCGGTGGCAGTCGGAAGGAAGCGAAGAAGAAAGAAAAGATTTGTAATCCATCCACATGTTCGAAATGCAGTGAAAATCGCAAATGCCACGATGGACTTCAACTGTCCTCAAAAATATTGCAAGCGAAAGTAAACTCAGCAGAGTTTTTGCTTGATAAGGATCGGATTTAACGCTGTCGAACAAGTCAGTCTGGAGGAAATTGGGCATTTTAAGCAATTGAAGAAACAAATGTTTGTATCAAGGACGCCAGGGTGAACTCCATGAAGATATACGGCAAACTTTGGTGCAGCTTTTAGCTAAAGGATTGCAAGAAATGAAGGTTATGCGCCCATTACTTAGGTATTAAGATGGTTCGGCTTCACGTGACGTGCAGACCCTAGCACAGAAGTTCACATTTATCCCTGTCCTTCGCTCCAGACATCCGCGATCTTTTTGGCTGTCGTCAGTGGCTGCGTCCACGAGTTCCAAGTGCGAAAATCGTTTCCAGCTGATTTCTCAGCTGGTACATCTCTTCCACGAACACGTCTGCCCATCTCGTTGGAGGTCTTCCTTGGGTACGTTTTGCTTCGCGAAGAATCCACTCAGAGGTTCTTAGTGTCGTCTGTCGTCTATTCTTCTCAAAATGTGACTGACCCATCGATGTTTGGCTTTCGCAACGTAATCCGCTGGGCCACGAAGACGGTTCATTCTTTTCAAATCTCTACTGCGAAGTCCGACTAGATGTCGCTTGTGTCGGTTCATCTTCAGAAGACTGCGCCTCAAGCGCTCTGTAGGTGCTCCGTAGAGCTTTCGACGTGGCTACAGTGTCGCCTCCAGTCTCAGCCGCGTAACAGAGCACCGGGAGAACGGTTGAGTCGAACTGGTAGGAACGGAGCTCCGGATTTCAGCTAGTCGGTGGCTTTCTTCAAAGGCCGAGGGCGGCCTTCCCTTAACTCGTTCTCCATGCTCATCAAACGTCCGAGATACACGTAAGAAGACGTCTTCATGATAGGAGTGCCTTCCAATTCTTTCATTCCTGCATCTTCGCAAAGGGCGTTCTTCATGAACTGAGTCTTCTTCCGATTTACGCAGTCTTTCTATCTTCTTTCCTATTCGTTTAGTTCCTTCAGCATCGTCTCTGCTTCAGTGATACTGCTCGAAAAGAGAACGATGTCGTCCGCAGAATGAAGGTTCGATAGAAATCGCCCATCAACTCGTATGCCTCTCTCGTCCCAGTCCAGTGACTTCATCACCCACTGCAAGGCCGCGGTGAACAGTTCGGCGAAATTGTGTCGCTCTGTCGGACCCCCTTCCCAACTGGGACGGTCGGGGGACGATGGGATAGCTGCATCGTTGTACAGTCCTTATAGCAGTCGGCTAACGTCTTCACGTAAGTTAGGTTCAATCCTTGATCGACTAGCGCAGACAGGATGGCGTTGGTTTCGACGCTGTTAAAGGCTTTCTCGTAGTCGACGAAGGTTAGGACGGGCAATTGGTACTTCCGGGAGACTTTTGTGACCCTCGAAACGTCTGGATGTGGCCCATGCTGCTGAATTTTTTGCAAAATCCAGATTTTTGGAGTTGGGATTCATCCAATGTCCTAGATATGCGAGCAAGGATATTCTTCGTGAAAAGCTTGTACAGTACACTGAGCAGGCATATTGGACAATAGTTCCGAAGATTCTCCCGTTGACCCTTCTTGAAGAGAAGGGCGGTTCTTGGTGTTCTCCACTGGTCGGGAATCCTCTCCTTCTGAAGGTGAGATGTCAGGTGTGCAAGAATCTCGTGTAGCGTTGTTTTCCGGCTCGCAGAAATTGACGGAAAGATGGTCTGGTCCTGAAACTGTGGACGTCTTCATGGTCTTCATGTTCTGAATGGCGTACTTACGCACTTCAGCAGGTAGAATTCGTGGTGGTACTTCTCCAATGGGAACAACGAGCGTCGGCACAGGTGTTGATGAGCGGAAGAGGTTGGTGTAGAAGTTCGTCGCGATAGATTTTACCTTATATCGGGAAAATGAGTCGAGGTTCCGTCTTCGTTCAATAGCGCGGCCAGCGTCACGTGATATTCACAAAGGTCCCTTCTTTTTCGAGTAACTCCTTGGTGTTGATCGAAATGCGTTCCAAGTTATTCTCGAAGCAACTGAGGCGCACTCTTCGCAGGCTCGAAATCCTTTCAGATTCCGGTCGTAGTCATACGTTGGGTCCTCCTCGATAGGCCACTCACAACTCAATATGAGCTCTTCCAGCCCTACCGTCATAAACGACATTCTCCCTTCTTGCGGTACTGTGGCACACATTCTTTTCCAGCTTTCAACTGATTCGTATCTTCGCTCGAGGGAAGCGGTGATCGAAGCCACTGCAGGATGGAACTACTGAGACATCGAGCAAGCCCCACCTTTTGGTAGTGAGAATGTGGTCGATCTTTGCGTGAGTCGTTTCGTTAGGCGATCCCATGTCAACCAGCGATGTTCTTTCTTCATAAAGATGAAATTCCCATGAAAAAGTCGTGCGGCGGAGAGAAGCCCAACGAGACGGTTGCCGTTTTCGTCCTGGAGCCCATACCCAAACTTCCCAATCCTACATTCCTTTTCTAGTGGCATTTCGATTTTCGCGTTGAAGTCGCCCACAACGAACTTATAGAAGGACTTCTCGTTGCGGGCGACCTGCTTCACGTCTTCGTAGAAAACATCAGTTCTGAGTCGTCAGCTGCTGATGTTGGTGAGTAGCAGTTGTTGATGCTGATGGTCTTCTGACGTGGAGGTCGTAGTCGTAGGATGGCTAGTCGAGGTGATAGATTATCATGCGAAAAGTGGACGACAGGAGGGTGGACGATAAAGCCAACGACTCCAACGTTTCGTAGTGGAACCTTTTCATTACGAATGACGAGGGTCCCATCACTCATCTGCCGCACGTCCTTCTTCCTGGACTTCGCTTCCTGCAGAGCGATGACATGATACTTGATGTGCCCTGTAGCGTCGAGAAAAGCGTGGATGTCGGCGTTTGGGGAGACTCTCTGACGTCGTGGGTGCAGAGCATGAGACGATCTCCATGGCGTGTATCCGGGTCCGGGCAGACGTGTCGTTATTGTCCGATCCAAAAGGACCCCGACATCGCTCTTGCTACCACCCGGCTTCGTAGGCGGGACTCGATCAACAGGGGTTTCTTTCATTTCTTCTTGCTTACGGAGTAATTAGAGGTTTCCCTTACAAGAGCAGATTACTAGGCCTAATCTTGATTTCCACGGTGCGATCGCTGACCCCGGACGTGGAGCGGGGAGGACCCCTAGTGACCGGAAAAACCAGACGGCGGGATATCTGGCCCGGCCGATTTTTAGGGTTGTTCCATAGTGCAGTCCCTGCAGCAACGATAGTCGATCGATCGACATCTATTGCCCGTCTCAACATGACAGCAGTTGCTGCAGCGACTGCAGTATGAAACTGTTCTTAGCTAGGCATCCGGCCGAAACCGGGGAAAGTCGAACTCCTTCACAGCTTGGGAAGCTTTATCAGAGTATACAGCTGTGCATCGCAGCTCGACACTTAATGTCATCCCACGCCACGTCTGACCATTGTGGTGGGGAGTACTTTACTCCTCACAATTTTTTGCTAGGAACAGACTGGATCCGGAAGAATGAAGAGATGACCTATCATCTGGAAAAGATGCTTGCAAATGTTATGGCCAGTCAAAATGATGTTATCGCACAAAAGTTGAGAAGTGCTTATCCAGAAGTATGCAGAGATGGTCTGAGATTATGCACTAAGGAGAAAGCAGACGTGCTGGTCGATGGAAGTTTCCACCCAGTGTTTAAGACTTGCAGACCTGTTCTCCATTCCACCCTTGGAACTGTCGCAAAGAAAATGGACAAACTTCTGGAAATGAACGTGATAACCCCAATAATTTGTAGCGAATGGCAGCTCCTATACCACATGTAGGAAAGGCAAGTGGAAAGTTGAGATTATGTGCAGACTTCTCAGCTGGACTCAATAGAGCACTTGAGTTGTACCACTATTCTTTGCCGCTACCAGAAGACACATTCGCATCTCGCAGTGAAATAACAGTGTTCGTCTTCTCGCAGTAGATCTCTCAGACGCGCATCTTCAGATAGAAATACCCGAAAGAGCGACGGTCGCGATAAACACACATAGAGAACTGTGCTTGCATTTGGAATTAAAACTGCACACGAGCTATTCCCACAGATTATGGATAAGATGACAGCTGGTCTGCGAGACGTAGGAAGCTACTTGGACGACATTCTGGTTTGTGGAAGGACTGAAGAAGAGCACTTGGAGATTTTACTAGCATTATTCGCAAAAATCTTAGAGTGTAGATCCAAAATTCTGTTGGAGAAACCTTTCGGAAAGCCAAAGATACGCCATCTTGGCTTGAAAAGATTGAAACTATTAAGAACACGGATGAGTTGAAAAATATAGGATAGTTACGAGCCTTTCTTGGCAAGCACAAGCACTTGGAAAATTTCAGTTCAGCCCGTACCGAACGATAATGGATTCGAAAGTAAGTATCAAAGTTTTTTTTTCAACTTGATAACTCATCTTCGAGTATTTTGACTTTGGTTACATGAAACAAGTTAATACGTTTCAGTAGCACAAGATTAGTTTTCTGTTTTAATCAAATATTTGGATATTGGATATAAAGGATAACGTGTCATCAAGAATTTATCATAAAATGTTTAGGCTATAACCAAGTGGCTACGAGAAATATCTGCTGAGTCAGATTCACTGAAGCCTTTCGGTGACGAGCTAATAGAGATGACTGAAGAGCTGTTCGTTCGCGAGCTGACAAGCACATTGAGCGGAGAGTTGAGTGGGTGACTATCTTATCTTCATTCTTATCCAGATTTGCAAAACATTAATAAAGGATAGGAGTCTTCAATTTGCTACAAAAATTGACGGTTGAATGCTTTGCCAAAAGATTTGATTTTGGTCAGAGAAGACATTATTTAGGAAAAGAGTAAAGAAGCTGATCTCGATAAGAAATTTTTCACACTTTAATAAGCTTACTCCGTGGAAGAAAGTCGAAATAAAAACGGAGAAGTATTCAAAAACATGTAAAAAACTTGTCTTACAGGAACGAAATTTGGACTACGTAGAATAAGTACTCGATTTAAGTCAATTCCAGCAGATTTTTCAAAAATAATGATGCTAATATCCTTCCATTGATTTAGAGCAGGACTTTCCTTGTATGAACAAATTTTTGCTTGCAGATATGAAGGAGGTGTTAGTCCATGGCGATACATGGGCATTAAATCTGATGTGGACGACAATCAAAAATGGATTGAGGTTGAAGAAAATTATTTACCAGGTAAGTGTAAGTTTCAAGCCAATTGTTCAAAGATTCTGCACTTTCTACCCTCTTCAACTTCAGTAATATGTCTTCACTACAGTTTGTGCACTTTGGTGTGCTGTGGAAGACCTGGCAAGATTATTTATCACCACACTGTCTGGAAAGGATCGCCGTGAGAAGTGGGAGCGATTACTGGAAGAATTTCACAGCTACTTGATGCAGTATTTAATGTATATAGGAGAGCTTCCGTTCACTATTGTACAGGTTCGAATAACTTGCTATTCACTTCGTTCTCCTAGGACACAGTTCTGCACTCACTGAACGTAGGTAAAAAAATTTATGAGTTATATATAATGCGATCATTACAGCTCAAGGAATCCTGTTCGCGAGATATTTCTGCTTGCTGGCCTGTTTTTCGAAGTGTTCAGTTTTGTGCCCAAGTATGCTCTTGATATCATGTAAAATGCAGACTTCTCGACTGTCCGAAAACTCTTGCAGCGGATTTGGAAAACCTGAGAAAGGTTTTGTATAAAGATTGTTGGCTTTTTCCCACAGAAAAGTTCGTCCAGTACGGCTTCCTTTCGAAATTGTGCCGAACCTTTTGCAGAAGAATATTGCTAACTCTTAATTGTACGAGATAAATACTCAGCAAGGCCGATGTATGAGTACGATCGCTTGTGCAAGCGCATTAAATTTCTTTCGTGGGATAAAGTATTTTCTGAATTCGGTCTATATAAATCCAGTCCGTTCTTGATATAAAAGAATTGAGCTACTGGTGCAATAAATATACACACGTTTTAATGCAAAAAATAAACTCATTTTTAGATGGCTAGTAGAGGAACGTCATAAGATGAGCAGAAGAAGCTGAAGCAAACCATTCTAGAGAAGACTGTTGCACTTCTAGGTGATATGCTGCATTTTGCGAAAAAATCAACTCCGCCCCGGTAGATATTGATCGATAAATAGTGGAAACTAATATCTCACTCGTGTGATTTCATGAAGACAGACATTTGAGTAGTACTTTGTTTTTCAACAACTGAGAATACATTAGTTTTGATCACTGGTTTGAAAAGATGAAACAAAAAAGCGGCTTTAGTTAAGTGGGTATTCTCTTGTATTATAAAATGCAAATTGAAACAGTGCAAGCTTCAACGAATATATTAGGCTGTCCCGAATGTAAACCTCTTTTTGAATAAATCTAATCGCTTCTGTTTTTCTAGCAGACTTAGGGCGATGTTTGATGGAGGGAAGCAAACGCTACAAAATGCTCACAAGAGATCCACTTCGTGACCCAACTGAAGTTTATAGTTAAAATCGAGAAAAAAAACTTAATCCTCGGAAATTGAATCAAGAAAAATAATTTTTAATATTCGAAATTGGTCGCCGTCAGAAGATATATAGGTATTCATGCAGGCATCTGCTAAATCTTTTCCGCGCATAGAAATCGAGAAAAAAGAAGTCCAAAAATGGCAGGCTCAGCCTCCAGATCCTCCCCTATTTTTGTTGTGCACGGCAAGCCTTAGCAAGTACAATCCTAGATTTATATTCCAATAAGTGCTCTTATAATTGAGAAATTGCTTAACATAAAAACCAAAAAAGTGGTATTTGCACTTTTGGACTATTTTTGTCTCTTGACTTGAGCTGAGAAATAAATTTGGCAATGTATTTATGAGTACCACTATGTGCCCATTGTGTGAACAAGTTGGAGGTCGCTGGTATTTGAAAGGAGATCCGATTTTTACGGTAGTTGAGAAATTTGTGTTTTTTCTCCAATTGGTACCTAGACTGAGACTTAGTTGGATCTTTGGCGGCTATTGAGTAGAGCCTGCTTTACCCTATCAAATAGTACCCAATTCTGAAAACAAAAAAGTTTGATTTGTTAGGTAAAGGCGTTTGCTTTTGGGAGCAACTTGAATAAACCTTTTCCGCAAGGGTTGGTCTCCCTCCTGAGCTGAAAATATAATACTTTCAATACTCTGCCCCACGCAATCGCGCGAGGCAAAAAGCTGTACTTTGTCGTTCATCAACCAAAGGGCTAATTTCGCCAAATGGATACACTAATTAAAAACAGCCAATAGTCAATTAACCTTTATAATCCGAACTCGTAGAAAAATCACGGGTCCAAAAATTGATCTAAAAATACACTCCCACTAAATCTCCCTTTTCGAAATTTTAAAAAAGTTTGAACTCGGACTGTTGATCGCTTGGCACGAAGAGGTAACAGAGCTTTTGTGGAGGGTAGAAACAAGGAATCACCCAAATGACTAAATTCACCCTTGCCGCACACAGTCATATCACCGTACAGCAATTGATATCGCTGAAGTGAATTGAATGAAGTTTGTCCCTTTGCATGCCATATTTGCCTTGCTACACTACTGTCTTGCAATTGTTGCTCGACTTGCCATTGCATAGCTGTAAATGTACCGAAGAAGATTCATGATGTTATTTCGCAAGTGTGGACCCAACCTTGAGCTTGGCATATCCACAGTGTCACAAAACTCCCAATGAAATTAGGAAACATTTTGAACTTACATGATACAACAAGCACAGATCAAAATGTCAAAGTCAAAGGTCAAAGTTATCAAAGCCCTACACACAATCTGCAGTGATTGAAGTACGTCAATGTGCACTACAATGTTATGGGCAGACTTTCATACAAGATGCAAATTCGAACATCGGGGATACGAATAGTGGTCGTCGATGTTGCTGAACTGATGCTGCTCACTTCCAGGGTATAATGTAGACGATCTATGACGATCCTCGTAATGTGACGCATAGCGAGCAGAAAAGTGAAAGAATTGCAAAAACACTTCATTGTGCTGGGAGTTTTTCAAGGCAAAACTGCGACTTTTCCGAATACTAACAAGGAGAAGATACTTGGTGACCGTGATCTTTTTAAATGAAATGTATACTGTTGAAGGCATCGGGCTAATCCCAAATCTGTCTTAAATCTGCTGTGCGCTCTTACGAAACAAGGAAGGTTTCTTGCCACAATTTGCGCTGTTTTGATGACGGGATTTACCAAAATTGTATGAATGGTCATTTATGCACTATAAAAGAACGTCCAAATGAAACAAAGCTTTACGTTAAGCTCAGGAAAACTGTCTCCGACATATACTAGTCTAAAAGGCCTGAATACAAACGATTCAGGCTCCTTAGATTTGTGAGACGAATGAAAAAACCATAATTTCGCTCAGAAAGTCGCACAGCAGATAATGAACATAGATTTGAAATCTACATTCCAAAACGCATCTGATGGTATATAACTCAATGCAAAAGGTCACGGTCAACAAGTATCCTTTCCTTGTAAGGCAAAGAAGTTTGCTACCTTATAGTTTTTTGCAAAGTTTGATTAGTCTTCTCCATGACAAAGCTATGATGGGCTGAGAACATTGAAGAAAATGTGAAAATTGACAAAATGCAATTCAATATGTATTTTCCTGATCAAGTATAGAAAGTTTCGTCTGCTACTTATGATTGCCTTACTGGCGTGCTTTGCAGACTTCAATTACGCTTTTGATCGTGATCTCTCGTAAAAGAAGTCCACCGAACTGGAGAGAGAAAGTGGACTATACATAATTTCAGATTCAGATTCAAATGGGATACAAGGACTTCTGCTCATCCATCAGAGATGATCCCAGGATATACAGATAGACTAAAATCGTAAATTCTACCTTTTCATACGTTAAGCTGCTCCTGCAAACATCTTGATGAAAATGTTGTCTCGATTCAAAACCGCTTTTCTACTCTCCTGTACACCTCCATATTGAAGATCAACTTATGGAACAATGGGAGGTCGCTTTCTTGGTTACAAGCACGAAGATTCTGCAAATGAAAGAAAAACGGTAAAATTTGTTTTCAAAAACTGAGTTGTGCAAAAAACATCCTAGTGCAGAGAGACTGTTATGAACGTAGTTAATACCGTTACTATCTCATGTAGGCTCAATAGTAAACTTCGCCTTAAAACTTTCTGCATATTGTCAGCACTTCGACACCGTTTTCCAGACATGCCGGTTTGCATTTGCATCTTATGAGCTTCATATACACAAATGCGTTTTTTTTTCGAAGTGTTTCTGTAAGCAGAAGTACGGCTTTATCTCAAGAAGAGAGAGATTACCTTAATACCTGCTTCTCTGAAAATTGTGAATAATTAAACATCTCCGACTTTTTCACGGGAAAAAGGAGTGATCACTCAAAGAGTCAATAAAAATTCCAGGCTCATAACACCATCAAACTCCAAAGTTTTCGCAATCAACTCTGTCATTTACGAAAGTACAATGGTACCGCACAAAAAGCTGCACTTTTTTGAAAAGTTTTATTTTGGGTTGGATGAAGTTTAATGAGGAAACTCTAACAATTTTGAACGCTTTGAACGAATGCCAGCAATTAGATGTCCAACAATACATCATTGTGTACTTGAAATTTATTGTAGTGATACATTGTGGAGTCTTATCAATGCTATAAAAGCTCTTGTACCTGAACCTGAACAGCTGAGAACATGTTCGGACTTTGTGTCGTTTTTGCGGTAAGTTCTGCTCAAACAGGCGATGCCTTCTTGAATTTGTGAAGTTGGCTGCAGTTCGTGCTTACTGTCGTATGCGATGATGTTGTTGTCGATGAGAAGGCTACTGTTATTGGTTCTGAGCTAGGGGCAGATGTGGTGATATACTTGCAACAAAAAAGCAAAAGTGTCGGAGGCTGGAGCGATCTTGAAGTCAGTTCATATACTTAGTTTCGAGTGCTTAAGGCGATCATACTTACTTCAAATTTGACAGCAATAGTGATAGTATACTTTTGTAACAAAAGGATGCAATGCGAGTCATTCTAGTACAAAACGAGCTTGGCGAGTAGGGCCATGATTTACTTACAATGTACGTATGACAAGCTTAAAGACGATGAATTCTCTGGAGATCCCACTGACGAATGTAAGAAACACCACCTTGGAGATGCAGCGCTACTGTACGGCCTCTGGAGAGGGTAGGTACCTGTTTTTTCTTCTCAAAATACTCTCTTAACTATCCAAGCTAATTAAGAGCCGTTACATTACCAAAGGAAGTCGTAGAAAATGTAGAAACTTACTGGAGTAATGGAGGAGAAGGTGGTGGTGAATCTGTCTTGAACGCGGCGATTGAAGACGCAAAGGTAAGAGGCAAATTTAGTACAGTTTATTCTTGCGTATTTGTTTTGAGAAATTACTCATATTGTTTGAACTGCTGCGCTACTCCTCGTAACATAGAAGATGCACACATGCTTGAAACTTTGGTTTCTTAAATTGTCTCGCCAATAAGGATGAGGCTTAACAACAGTTTTGCTGCGAAGGTTCTTACTACTACTTAGACAATTCCTCTTCACACTTCAAACCTCTGCATTTTTCTGTTGAGGATACGACATAGTTTTAATACTCCAGCAAACACATGTTCATGTGTTAGCTCATGACCAAATGTCAACCAAATTTACGCAATATTTGCAAACGATTAAGCGTTCTTAGTAATGTGCAAACGAGTGAGCATTTCGGTACCGCTTAAATTAGTACAAGCTGCAATGGCTTCACCTCGACGGCTAGAAGAAATTGATATGCTTTGAGGATCCTATCACTTGATAACTTTTTTTTCTTGAGAGTGCTGACTTTTTTCGCATGTGATCGCTCCGTCGATTTTCCATTATCCTTTTTGTGTGAAAATTCACAGCTTTGAGCCACCACTACGTTATGGATGAAAGAACAATTGCAGAAGAAAGGTGGAGATGGCGTCGGCTGTGCATACTATTATGATTCATTTGGCATTGCCTACGATACCGAGCCTGAGTACAAGGAAGACGGGGAGATCGAGCGAAAGGAAGGCGGGGACCCAGTCGGAGATGTTGCATGTGTTTTTGGATCCAAGTAAAAAATTTAGCGAGAGTTTCAATAAAGTTTGTAGTCTAAACTATATGTAAGAAATTCATCTCGACTACGAGCATCGACGACGAAAATGCGTATCATTCACATCATATTTGCCACACTCGAACATATCTTATACTAAACAAAAGATAGGCAAGCAGGTTGTGATGCTTCTTATAAAGGCTCTGCCTACCTTAATCACCAGCACTGTGTTTTATGTGTGCTTCGGAGAGAGTTGCTCAAAAAGGTATGACGATAACTTATTTGCATTTATGATATGTGGATTCGCCGCGCACTTGACCTCTTAGCTAAGGAGACTTATCTAAGATGATGCTCAAAAATAACACCTATGTATGAGGCCTAAAACACTCAAAACCGCCAAATTAAGATCTATCTTCGTTTTCAAAAAGATGCAAAAGCCACACGGCTACTGCTTTTCGTTGGGGATGATGAGTATATTCTTGCTTAATGTAGGAAATAATTCGTAGGTCTTGATATGCTTAAATAACATTTTGGAATATTCAAATAACGTTCAATCAAGCTCCACTGCCAATGAGGCACTTCACAAAAGTTCACCAGCACGTTTACCGCATTAGTCGCGAGTCGATGAACATGCAAGTCACGCACAGAAAACTGCAGATAATTTACGGCAGAAAAGAAGTCAGGGGGAATTTGAACTCGGGTTTTGTTCCACCCATTTCTGTCTTCCTCTAAATGAAGATTCGATTATAAGATTTCCTTTTTGGTTCACATGTCGAGTTATATAAAAGCTAATAGTGCATGCTAGTAACTTGTGGGCATCCATTACTAGCTTGAATTTCCTTGCACTTATCCGCAGAATTACTTCATATAGGATCGCTGGGCAGAGTGGCGACTTCACCTCCCATACTTTTCAGAGCCCGTTCTGGATTGCTTATTCCAAAACTGTGTTCAAAAGCTCCTGACTGTGTAGTCGTTTTTTATCGCATGTTGAGCTGAGAGAAAGTAAGGGACACGGCGGTTCTATGAAATGCTGGCTGTCGGAGCCAATCATCCCCTGCCGCCAAGATAGGTGGACAAACCGCGCGGCCAATCACCGCTCTAGGGCCGCCCCAAACCTACCCATTCGGCACTATTCACCTTGACAAAAGCGAGTTTTTTGCTGCCTTGAAAAGTGCACAGTAACATGAAGAATTTATGATCTAGGATATGAATGTACTGCGTAGTTGAAAAGCGCATTCATCATTCTGAGATATTCGTGCAAGTCTGCTTAAACCCTGGATGTGACCGTAACTTATAAGATATTGAAAATTTTGATGTTAGGACGATCTGTATAAAAGCATCAAAGTGTTGTCTATCAATCGGCTACATCGGCTGAAGTCTTGCTATGCAATACATTCGCTAAAATTCGCAATTCAAAGTTTCTATTGTTAGATGCTAACCTAACAAGTGTGGATACTTGGTAACCGTGGTCACTCGAAATGGGATGTATACCGCAAATGCATCTCGAGACCTTGATTTTAAATCTGCCCTCTCTATGCGAAACGATTTTTTGAAGAAAGTTACGAACTTTTTTATAAAAAAATCTTTGGGTATTCCCTATTCGAAATCACAGTATCGTTCTAATTTCTGTTTGATGCCACGGAACAAATTCTTGGGCAGAAAACTATTGTGCGTAAACTAAGTAGTCCAAATTTAGCAGGCAGAAAAAGCAATAAAATTTGCATTGGTGATTTTGTGCCCCATAATTGTGAATTTTTTCTCAAAAAAATCATAACTCCAGCTAGATGACCGTTTCGCAGATATGAGACAAACTTCGAACCAGCATTTTGGCGCATCTAACAGTATATACTTCATCATAAATGGCCACGGTCGCCAAGTATCCTTTCCTTGCAAGTTTTGAAGAGGCCGAGGAACGATTCTTTCAGTATAGCGAGATACCTTTTTGAATTCCACACTGGTGTTACATAAACCTCCACGTCCATAAACTTTGTGACTTGCAACATAGTCTGTTTGAATGTGAAGAACTCAGGCATGCCGATATTGCGCATAATTGTGCTTTCATGGGGATGTCATAGTAAGTCAGTGAAAGTGAAAAAGCCCTGTATAAAGATTTGACGCTTTGAAATGTTTACAATGTATAGCCTTTTTATACACAGTGTCTTAAATATACGTTGCCTGCCTGACCTCTTAGCAACTCCATACCTCAAGCATATCTTATCTTTGGATATCACTTTGAAAAGGAGTTTGACTAATAAACGTGAAAGATTAATCGAATGGTAAGCATAGGATTACGATAAAATTTGCGGGCGGACTTTAGGCCAGTAAATTTTTCTCTCCAAAAAGACTCGACCACTCTTTCACATATATCTGTTCGAAATTTTGCAGAAGACTGCATTTTGGAAATCTATTCTCCAAGTTTTTAAGACTCTTAGAGCTTAAATGGTGACGGATTGCAATAAAGTTCGCGTTTTCCGCAGTAGAGGACGCCGGTGTGGATTCGCATTGCAAAGATGCGAAGGTTCAAAAGTAGGAAGATTTGATAATTACAGAAATTTTTGAAGGCATTCTATCAGCATGAGTCTTACAGGACAAGACACCTCTTAGAAGGTATTAGAAATAAGAATCGAATTCGCTGAACAAAATTTGGGACATTTTGTACAAGATACATTTTTACGCTTAATCCTCGATACACAATGAATAATTTTGAATTTTTATAGAAAGCGTTCGATTTCAAGAAATTTTTTTAAAGGATAGTCTCACTTCCGAGTATAATTTCAACATTAGTCTGAAGCTCCTATAATGCATGATTTGAACTCGGAAAAGAGCTTTGTGCCAACTGCGCATTTTTGGGGATCCTTCATATCTACTCTAAACTCATATTTTTTACTATTCTGCTAGATGTATTTCAAATCGAACTAAACTATGGATTAGCGAGCGCAAGTATCACTGCTCATGCAGAGACCCATGCAGATCACCCCAGAAAAACCTTCTTCCTATCCACAAAGAAATGGTCAAAAGTAGTAATTATATCTTGTGCTGTGTACTGTTCAATTACTTAGCGTATGCTGAGTCCAAATCTGTTTTGATCTGACCAGTGAGCTAAATTTTCACCCACAAGTCTAGATCTGCGCATCGTATATCACATCTTCTCGCAGCAAAGTTGCTCGAGGAATGAAGTATTGAAACGAATTTTTATTCTTGGTGATGAGTTTTTACCAAATCGCGTAACGAATGCAGTCGCATGAAGTAGGCCCCGGGCAACATGATGTCTTGTTGCTTACAAAGGAATGGAAGTCAAAAATGGGTTTTAAAGGAGCTGCATTTCATTAAATGGTATGGTATTTAGCTTGCCCTGTGAGCCATCTGTACAACACTTATAACCGGTTGAAGAATTTCTGCCAGAGATTCAGTACTATACAGTAATGAAACAGTATCGGAATACTGATCATCCCTTATCATTTATCTACTAAGAGGCATTAGTTCTTGGGTACTGAAACTGAGTATCGTTTTGAAGGTAAAAAGCATAGGAGATATCGCTTTTGCGGAGTTTGAAGCGGAGAACGAAAAAATGCGTGTGTTAATTTAGCTCATACATGAAGTAATCAACAATCTCTCCTTACTAAATTGGAATAGCGAGAGTGATGATAATTTCTACAACCTTCTGGACAAACTAAATTTTCGCACATAAAAACGAGTAGGAAAACTTCGAAGAGTTGGCCGCTTCCACGTCCTTAACCCAACAAATTCTCGCAGCCCCCTCGTCCCTCCCCCCCCCCCTTCCACCTTGAAAACAAGACTTATTTTCGCTAAGTCTCACAAATACATAGTGCCAACTTTCTACCCTCCTCCCTCCTTCATTTTTTTATCCCCCCCCCCCCCCAGAATCAACCTTCTCATCCTGTATTCCACCGCATCATGTTCTGAAAACGTAGCAAGTACTTATTACTGCCACCAAGATTCCAATCTCTACAAAACCAACAATTTCCCTAAAATGCCCCCCCCCCCCTGCAAGCGCGGGATTTTCAAAATGTGTCCTCATATAAACAAAAGGCTTGTTTACAGCGAAGAGGAAATAATATTATGCCAAAACTGGTGTGTAATTCGCAATAGGGAGTTGTAACTATGGCTGAAAATTCATGAAAAACTTATGTGAACTGAAGGCGTGGCAAACTTTTCTCAGAGTTAGATGCTTTCCAGCTACCCGGAGTCTCATTGAATATTTTCATAGATTTTACATAACTTCAATCTACATCAATGACCCTAAAGATTAATATTTTGAACTTTCCAAACGACCTCCTCCCCGCCTATTTACAGCCCTCCAGATTCTTGTATGCGGCGGCAATCCTGCTCCAAGCGCGCGATGGTGCTTGCCGGACACGGCACGCCGCCAATTTGGAGATTGAGAATGTTATTGATTTTTTATCGTTTACTCGATGATTTCTCCGTTATTCATGTTAGTTCCATTCATTATTTTGTTACAAAAATTAAAAAAGCCACCTCATGAAGAGTCTTGAGAGGGTGTGTTTCACTGATCTACGAATGTTATATACATTGTGCATCCTTAGCCTGCGACTGGGTATAAGTCAGAGAGGCCAGGTCTCGGCGAAATTTCGCTGTTTAGTTACACCTATTTAGAGCCTTCTCATCAAGGAAAACTCATACCTGGGTTTTTAAGCGCATGGCAATGGCGAAAATGAGCTTTTCTCGAAGCTTTCCACGTACCCACTCAGTGAAAATACCCGAAATTTTCCGCACCCCGCCTCTCTCGTTTCGAACCCACTTAGGCTTCGGACCGAGTTCACGCGATTTCATCGTTATTGCTATTCATCGCGACAAGACAAGTGTAAAGCCCCGGGCAGATTTCACGCGATTTGATCGTCGCGACTGAATCGCGACAAGACAACTGTTACAACATCATTCCGTGCCGATCAACTGCATCTCGGTTGTGATACTTTATCAGCCCGGAATTTTTGAATGTAAAATGAAAATGAATGGAAATCTCGGCGATTAGATCGCGACGATCAA